TTTAAATACTTTTGAATGGGTATTGGTTTCTAATTAACACCAACTTCAAAGTCTTGGTTTCAATGCACAACATAAAAATCTGTTTGTTCAAAGGATTAATTTATGATTAGGAAATTTACTTTAACTCTGAACCTTTGACTCGTTGATGCTTTGATGGTTTATCTTTCTGAAGGGAGGACAAGAAACGGAGACAAAGTCAGCAAAGAAGAAAGAAAGTGGAGACATTATCTTTTAACTGAACTGAATTAAAGCTCAGATGAGGTGAAGGTGACAGCTTGCACCGATGTTCTTAAGTGAGACACCGATTAGATCCCAACAGCTGACCCTAACTCCACCCCTAAGGTTAAAGGTCACTGTTGATCTCCTGTCGGGGTGCTGCAGACCTCAGCTGTGGACTTGACCCGAGTCTCCTCCGGGCTTTAACATTGTGGGTGGCAAACACACACATGCTCACACACAAGCCTCGTTGAAGACGTTGGAAAACTCTCAGAGGGTTAATCCAACGAAACACTGAATTTACAGTCAGATTAACAGCCTTCCAGAAAGCAATTCCATCCCTCCAACAGCTACCACGAAAACAAAAAGAAACACTCAACTATGGTGGGCAGCAGAAACGATAAAACTCTTAGTCGCTCCATTTACACCGGAATGTATCTAAAGCCACAATTTAATGTATCCACTGTAATCACAGCAGATCTGCTTTAAACTGTTACAATGAGGAAATCTGATTCAAAGACCCCTTGGTATTCCAGCAGGTTGCAAAGGTGCAAATTTTGATCACGTGACCACCATTAAAGACACGTAAAGAGTGCACAACACAGGTGACACCCCCCCCACCAAAAAAACCCCAAACAATTTATGAAAAAACTGACAGAGAAATGATCTTTCCACATCCCTGCTTCTAAAAAGAGGCATTTTCTTCAGCACAGGCACTTTTACTCATTTTCTTCCAATTATTTCTTTTTGTTCAGCTGGCTTTGAAAAATGGATTAACCGTTTTTAAAAGAATAACACTAATATTAATAATAAAGCGCCAATAAAAAAAGCCCAACCATGCAACTGTAAAATACACTGGCACTAGTACATTTTACATTTGTTCACTAAAAACAGGTGCAGCAAACGTTCTGAAAACATTAAACAGTTTGTAATACCACTGCTAAAGTGTACGCAGCGATCAGCTGGCAGCTACAAAGCAGCGTCTCCCGTTAAGTCTTAATAGCACATGCACGGGACTTTAGTCTGTTTCAGAGGCTCGGCTAGTTTTGGCAGTCAGGGTTCTGATATTGGGAAATGATCTACTGAGGAAAGATCAGTGGAGTCACTGACATGATTTAAGCAGATTTAGTGGAGATAAAGTCATTGAGAGTTCAGCCATGTGCTCTGTTTGAACGGGAAAAACCTGCTAACATGTGCGTGGGCTTGATAAACCTTTTCCAGTAATATTTAGGGGTTTTCCTCTGAAATGAGTTTCTTTGCATCCCTAAAAATGTTTGAAGCATAAATTAAAATAGATAAAATTACTCTGAAATGATTAGAAATAACATGATAAAGCACCGGCTTCTGTCAAATAAGGAAATAACCAATGCTGTCAGTGTACACGGAGCAACCATTGTCAAAGCCACGAGTACTTACTCCACCAAAGTTAAATTCTTAGCCAAGGTGATGGTAAGGCATCTGATCATTGCTACGTATCAAAGACTGAAATCTGACAGTCTAGTTATAAATCAACAACTGACGTCAGTAATTTGGTGCTAAATAACATTTTTGCTTAACTTTCTCACATCAATAAATAGTAATAAAGGTGAAATTATGACATATGTTAAAGTGCAGAATATTAAGGATTACTCTGGAAGTACAGCAGGATGGTGGTTCTGGTAAAAGACTGGAACTCAAAGATCTGCTACTGGGAACCAGACAGTCTACCTTTGTTTGAGTTTTCCAAACAAAAATCCTCTTTTCACTAAACTACTTACCTCAATTTCACCTCCATTTCTCTGCGGCTCTTTCCTCGAGACCATTTGCACCACCTCACTTTGGTTTTGCGTCTGACACATCAGCATGCTAACTAACAGCCAGCTGAAACAACTTTTTTTAAGCAGGCCAAAGTTTAAGGCTCTTTAGTCACTTCCTAAATTTATTAGGATACCAGCCTGTTTGAAAATTATGTGAATTGTGATACATTAAGGAAGTCGCAGATTTTTCTTCTCTCCACAGAATTAGCAGCACATTTCATCTTTGCGGTGGCCGTGACGGATGCAGCCAACGTCTTCAGAAAGTTAAATAAATCTGCCAAGACAGCAGCGTTATTCATGCAGCTGCTGTCATTCTACGAAAGCTTTAAATGATTCTAATGATGATGAATGGGAACTCCCTGCACGCAGATCCCTTTAGAAATGTTTTCTTTAGCTAATCTTATTTAATGGATCAACATCTCCTGCTGCAGCCAAATCACTTCAATCTGCACATCAGCAGGCGACTGACTGGAGGTTTAACTGTGGGGAGGTGATGGAGGAGAGAGGTAAACCCAGGAAGATGCTGTGTGGTCTGTCTTTAAAGGGATCCAGTTCATATTTGGGTAGAAGATTGATGAAAAAATTTACAGCTCAGATTTAAATACAAACTGTGTAAGTACATGAAATTGATTTGATTGGTATATTTGAATAAGGGAACCAAAGGAAACTTCTTCAGTCATCCATTCTCCGTATCAGTTCATCAGTGTTGTGCAACCAAGAGTTTGCAGTTCATTTCCAGTTTGAGAGCTTTGTGTTGTTTCACTTTTACTTTTGATTTCTTTATTACATTTTATCTGAAAGAGATGATGCATTTAACATAGTTTCAGTATAGAGCATAAACCTACACAAACGGGGACGCAACCGATTCTAAAATGCTTAAATGCAGTCGCCCCAAAACCCAACACCATGCAGCTCGACCTGGGTGTGTCGGATAAAAGCTGATTGGTTGAAAAGAGGGGCAGAACAGGAAAGAGAGGAACAGCAGAGTTTACAAATTGGGGGAAGTATGGGGAAAAAACAAAGCTAAAAATAAGTGTCAGCAGTAAACACGTTTCACGGTTTTTAAACACTCAGTTTCACTTCAGTGTGAAGTTCACTATACTCTGCAGCAGGCTGAAGGAACAACAACACCACGATAAAAAAGCACACTGCAGCGAGTACACGGCTACAACACGCAACCTGCAAAGTAATCGTATGACGACCGCAGAACCCGTTCAAGATACTAGAAACAAGACTTTTCTCACTATGACATCACAGCTTCAACGCCAAAAAGCACCTTGTGAGTATCGCAGGGCGTCAAATCTGCGAGTAATAATAGATTGGATTTATATAGCGCTTTTCAAGGCACCCAAAGCGCTTTACAATACCACTATTCATTCACTCTCACATTCACACACTGGTGGAGGTAAGCTACAGTTGTAGCCACAGCTGCCCTGGGGCAGACTGACAGAAGCGAGGCTGCCATATCGCGCCATCGGCCCCTCTGGCCAACACCAGTAGGCGGTAGGGTAAAGTGTCTTGCCCAGGGACACAACGACCAGGACAGAGAGCCCAGGGATCGAACCGGCGACCTTCCGGTTACAGATGCGATTCCCAACCCCCTGAGCCACGGTCGCCCAAGTGAGAACAGACTGACCTTCCACTGAGCACAGTTGGTCTTAATCCTCTTTTCCACCAAAGTGGTGCTGTGACGGCAACTGTAGAAAACCAATCCACACGTTAAGGTCTGAGAATCAGCAGCATGCAGAGGTGGATTTCTTGTGGTCCGCCCTCCTGTGGCTACCAGTGTTGATGCTTCCAACAGTTTTGGCACAAACACTGATCTGAATGTTGTTGGCTGCAGATTAGGAACCAACACCAAAGTAAGAAGCATATTAAATTAAAGAGTGAGAAGACAGAGACTCTTCTTGTTGTAACTAAAAGTCTTTTTGTAAACGATTGGTTGGGTAATTCTCTTTGTATCATCAGTTCTCTGATCTCTCCTTCATCCCAGGTTAAGATGTCAGTCGAGTTTTCGATACCACCTTAAATTTTGAAACACATATCAATAATCACAGCCTGGATATTTCTGCTTATGTAATATCAGTCGGTTGTGTCCGTCCCTCACAGCTAGCAGTACTGCTATTCTTGTACATGTGCTGGTTACATCTTAGATTGATTATTGTAATTCTGTCCTCTCTGCTTTACTGCACAAAAGTCTCCATAGACTTCAAATTGTTCGAAACTGTTTATGCCATTTCTTGAACATATAACTGCTGTGCTCCAGCAGTTTGATTGGAAGCCTGCAAAATATTGCTTCATTTTAAGATTCTGCTTCTGATTTTGAAGCCTCTTCATTACCTCTGATGTGCACATCAGTATTCCCTCCTGTAGATCCTCCTATGTTACCCTCACTTTACCACGGGATTTAAAGATTTCACTTTTTTCTCTCTCTTGATTTGTATTGTTGACTTTGTAATTTTATGATGTATTGATGTAAAGTTACTTTTTGCGTCCTATGATTCAGAATGATGATTCAGTCAGCAGCCCGTACTTTAAAAAGACCAAAGCTATGATCTGTGATGAAAGAAAAACTGGGAAAGTGGTAACATGATAAGAAATGTAATGGATGAATGCTTAATTTCATCATACAGCAAGGATTTCTGCATCAATCCTGCAGCACAAATGTGAGGTAATGGAGGAACAATGGCATTACAAGTGCTCAATTACAGCTCAATTACAGCGCTGACTGCGCAACCAAAGCTCAGCTGAAAGTAGATTAGATTAGACAGAATTGTAGTTTGTAAGGACAACAGAAGGGAACACGCTCATTGTTTTTCTCCTGATTGGAAGCAGACACCACATGTCCCAGAGTGATTACCTGGAACTTTGATCTCTGGCCCACAGATCACCACACACCAAAACCTAAACGGTTTCTGCTGAAAATCACACAGCTGCTGGAGCTCGAGCGGTGTGTGTCGGAGGAATCCCGAGTTGCTCTGACATTACCACTCACTGGATGGTTTTCATGCTTTTCTTCCTATCAAAGAGTTCAGTGCTCCATGATAACACACCCATCATCATATGTGGTAACACAAATACACACACACATTCTCTTGATACTTGCAGTCTCTAATCACCGTGTTATTTTGATTCCACTGTTATGAATGTACCCATTGGTATTATGTTGTGGTATTTGTGGGAAAACACAAGAAAAGAAAGTTCCTGTATAGTTTTACAGATGTTTTCTGGTGAATACTTTCATTTCTCCCGAGTTAATCAGGATCGTAAACACAGTTTTCTTTTCCCTTTCTCAACATCTGTTATAAATCTGTAACTTTATGTTGACGTGACCTTTAATGGAAAGATAAGAAGCCAGTTTGTGTCTTACCTTCTGCAGCCACTGTGTGTTGTTCTCCATCGTGCTCTCCAGGTGTTGCAGTTTCTGAGCCGACCATTCGCTGTCAGCAGGCGGCGAGTCTCTCTGAACGACACCCGGCCCGCCCTGAAAGCCACCATAGTGTTGCGTCTGTGATGGCGACCCTCCACCGGGGCATCCGTCCAGCTCTGGCAGGATGAAGGTGTAGCTGCACTGGCCGTGCTGGATGCGGTGCAACTTCCTCCTTTTCTCGCCGGCGCCGCCACCACTTCCTCCTCTCCTTCTTCCAGATACTCCTCGTTCTGCGCTGCCTGCATCAATGACAGCTGACAAAGTCCAAAGGAGCAGAAGGACCAGCAACCCCCGGCTGAGACTTAAGCCTTTCATGACACTCTCTTTAATTATATGAAATTGTTTATTTCTCAGTGCAGAAGAGGGTCAAAGGAAGCTCATTCACACTCTGACCCCGATTAAGTTTAGGAAAACGTCTGTGTGCAGGATATGAACAAGAGTGTCAGCACAGTCTGTCGTTAGTTTGATCTCCTCTGTTTCAATCACAGTTTTTGGAAAAGAAAGCCGAAAGCATCTCTGGCCTCACACTGAATGGTCTCCTTCATTTGTGGTGACGATGTCCAAGGATTCCTCCCTCCTCTGTCTTCGTTGTTTGGTCGTAATCGTGTTTTCTGAGGCCGGGTTCTTCAAGGTAATAAAGACTTTTTAGGGCTCATATATTAGCTCAACTGATCAGCTGTTGCATGTTTTTTCCTTAAGGTATCAGGTGCAGATCCAGATCCACTCTGCAAAAAAAATGGAAGAACCCAAAGCTACAAATTTAAAAGCAGAAGTAATGTGAAGATGATGAGCAGTTGTGTCCAAACAGTCTGTGAAGCTGAAGAGCTAAATATCTTTGTACTCCCACTCTTCTCTGGTGGCTCCAGTTTTAGAAGTGGCTGAAGGAATTGCCTCTGCCCCCTTCTTATCTGCGCTGGCTGAGAAGAGGAGGAATGAGAGAGAGAAGAGGGGAGAGAGGAGGGGGGAGAGAGAGAAAGGACGGAGGAGGAGAGGGAGGAGTGGACGGACAGGAGACCTGAGGGAGGTCTGTTAGAGTACCCTCTCTCTGTTAGTGGGCTGAGACGAAATGAAAGGAGGAAGGGAGGAAAGAGTGAGAAGTAGCCAGAAAAGAAGAAGAAATGTGAAGATTAAGGGAGTGAAAAAGAGTCAGATAAGGAATACAAATGCTGAGAAAGACAAAGTTTGAAAAGAAACTTAACTGCTGACAGACAGAGAAAAGACACTGAGAAAGAACGTGATAGAAGAAGAAAGAGAAATCTAAAAGAGGCTCCTGTAATCTTCTTTCCTGACTGATCTCTCAGTTCTGAAGAAAATCCTGATGCCTTGTATGGTCATTCAAACGGAGCTGGCAGCCAGAGACATTTCACTTTGTCCACTAAACACAACCATGCTCAGGGGCATCGTGGGACATCAGGAGGCCAAGGAAACCCACGCAGTCTACGTACTTAAAGCTGAAACGCTCTCTCAGTCGCAGGATGTACCTCCTCAACGCCTCTCATCTGTCCACATGGAACCACATACAAAGATTAGTTCCAGACTGATGGCTTTGTCCCCGGATGATGAAACACAAGCTCTACATGTGGCGGGACAATGTGCGCTGTCAGTTACAGAGTTTATTTGCACAGTGACAAACTGTTTTGCAGAACGCAGATAAAATTCTTTGATACGAGCCACGAGACAAACAGATTTCTACGAGAGAATGAAGCCTCCAAAACAGGTTTAGAATGGCAGCTCAGCGTTAGGCGATCAAAGATTGAATGATTCTGTTTTGAAGACTGTGTTTCTGCAAAGATAAAGAGCTGCTCCCAACATCTTACCACCGACAAGTTATTTATTTTGACATAAAGCAGTCCTATTTTCAGCCCGGCCTGACCCTGAGCCTGGTGCACAGAGCTGCACAACATAGAAGAGTCCTCTAATTGCATCATTTCTGTTTATGTTTTAAGAGGAAAATGTTTTTTATTGTGGGATTGTTTCGGTCTCACTTATTCTCATTCTTTTATTTCATCTGCTTTTCTGTCTGCTCATGTATGGTACAGGTTTTTGTTACGTTCTCATTTATTCATGGACAGATTTTGTTTATTTGTGATGAACTCTGACCCAAACAAAGCTGTAAAAAATGCTAATGGTTGATGAATACCCCTGAAAAGCATGATGTTTCATATAATCCTTATATTATCCTCAATATGTGGTGTGATCGCAGTCAGTGAAAAATAATAGAGATACATACTGTCCTGCCCCTAAATTGCTCTTGCTTTCAGTTTAATATTAAATAATAAACTAAGTTATTAGAGAGGAAGTACTGTGGCGGTTTATTCAGAACATGCAAATCTGAGAATTAGCACATCTGCACAACCCTGATTGTTTTTTTCTTTCGTGTCACTTGTATTGATCAGAGTTTGGTGCTACACTTGCTAACTGATTTTCTGTCTCACTATCTGCTCCAAACAGTACGTCTTATCACATACTGATTAGATCTTTTAATCAATGTAAACACTGTGGACACTGATCTTTACTTAACCCTCATCCTATGTGAGAGTGAATGAATAGTGGCATTGTAAAGCGCTTTGGGTGCCTTGAAAAGCGCTATATAAATCCAATCCATTATTATTATTATATGACATATTTACATACATACTGGACCACAGACTGGGTTTACTCAGGACCCCAAGAATAATTGACTGTGAGACACAATCATAATAGAAAAATAAAAATGATAGCACATCTCATTTTTTCTTAAAGTTATGTAATGCCATCTTTCATTATTATTATTATTATTACAAAGTTACTATTCATTTGCATATATCATAAAATTATAATCTAAACTTTTCTATAATACAATTTGCAGCTTCTATCCCATCTACAGTCCATTTTATTACTTAAACTTTGACTCTTAGTTTGCAGAAATTTCAAGTAAACATTATTTGTTGGAGTTATTTGATGAAACCTGTTCACGGGTCATTTAACCACAGTATAAAATAACTGAAACAAACACACAACCAGACAGCCCAGAGATCTAATCTCTCCCGCATGTCCTGGGTCTGCCCTGGGGCCCCCCACCTCCTACCTCCTCCCACTGCCCCTGTCCAAAACGTTTCACCCTGAAGGCTTTCTCGTCCCCTCGGCTGGCTTCTTTGGCTTCGTCCCTCCCAAATGACCAAACTCCTCACCTTATCTCTTTCTTTTCTTTTTTTTTTTTTGCCTGTCCCATTTGGCTCTTTAGCCGTCAGAATTGTTGTCTGAAGACCAACAAGGATACCCAATGGATTTACTTTGCCAAATGGATCATCACGGCCATGCCGTATTAGTCCATTTGATCGACCTTTGTTGTTATTATTTATTTATTATTTTATTTTCAGTTGTTACAGACGGGACAGACATGACTGAGGGATAGGAAAGGGAGAAAGAAAGATGAAGGAAAAGAAAAACAGAAGGGGAGAGGGACAGTGAGAGAGGGCACTATTTTTTCAATCACTACCTGGAGATCAGCTCTGTCTTCACCAGCACACCGGTACAGTGTTCATGTTACTGTAGATGCTACACCAATCCATCTGTCAATCTCTCACTCCACTCTCCCTTCACTTGGGTGCAAGACCTTAAACAGGCACTTAAGCAAGTACTTAAACTCAGAAACTTGGGGGAAACGACTCATCCTGAACAGAAGTGGGCACTCCATCCTTTTCCAGCTGAGGACCATTTCTCATCCCAGCCATTTGATACTCAGTTGCAAACCACCCCACTGCAAGTTGGAGGTCGTCTTTTGATGAAGCCAACACAACCATCATTTGCAAAAAAAGCAGAGATAAGACCCTGAGACCACTGAACCCTCCAAACCTTGGCTGAGCCTAGAAACTCTGCCCATAATATTGTGACAGAGTCGGTGACAGAGGGCAGCCCCGTCTGCCCAGACTGACTTATTACCGGCGGTGCAAACTAAGCTCTCACTGTGGCCGTACACGGAACAGAACTGACTGAAAACAACTGAGATAATCAGACACAACAGTCAATTATAGCATCCAGTTACCTCATGCAATACTCGGTGACATGGTGGCATGTTACATGCAGAGCAGCCAGGCTTCATGTTTATGATTCAGATGCAAAGGTAAAATCTCTCCAGCTCTCCTTTTTGTGTTGGCATGACCAGGCATGCCCAGCTCCTCAGGTACAGTAAATCCAGTCATATGCCCAACGTTCTAATAACCTCCAGTTTGAGAAGTTCCATATTCAGATGGTGAAGGCAGCAATGGCAGCTTTCTTCTTTAAATGACAGTGTCCCAATCCACCCTGACTGTGTCGTTATGTCTTTATGTTTAGGAGCCATTGTAAATATAAGATCTCCAGTGTGGTTTTGTTTCCTCCTTGCTTCAAATCACGGTGGAAGAGCCTTAGAACCAGAGAAATCAGTCTGTACATGGTCTTTTATTTTGAAAATTCACCAGCGTGTTTGAGCTAATACTCTGCTAAACTTCCTCCCCTGATCTCTTCAGCTTCACGCTGAACAATAGGCTTGGGCATTTTTACTGATTCAGAAAGCCAAGCAGCTTTTCTGAGCCTTCCAAAATCAGCAGCTTATTCTGTGAGCAGGGGAAAACTTCCAAGGGAAGTGTCTACAAAGCTACCCTGTAGGAATTAGAAAAAAGTTGAGAAGAAGTAAAACTAAACAGGAAACTGAGAACCAAAGATTACAAAATAAAACAGGAAATGAAAGGACAGCAGCAATACAAAATTTCGGATAAAACAAAGTTACTTTATGCATCTTTTGTTCTGGAAAAACTGTTTCTCATTATTTTAACAACGTTAAAGAAGTAGACATGGAGTCATGACGCAACTACAAAGCCTCCCTCGGTGAATAAGTAAACTAAATTTGATGAGTCAGCTTGGAAGGTTGTTCCTCACGTCAGTGGAAAATTTGTCAGTTACTGAAATCAGATCATATCTCATACAGGCAACTTTTGTGGAGCCAGTAAATCTTGGGGGAAGATTGGAACAACATGCTATAAGATACTCCTGTCCTGTCCAACTCTGGGTCGTGCTGGTACTCGTCTGGACTTTTTTCAGGCTGATATCAGAGGCAGCAGAGGGCACATGACTCATGAACCAGCCCTTTCACCTTCTCTCTGTGGGGACGGATGGAGAAATGAGATCTTTCCAGTCTCCTTTTGTCCCTTTTATAACTTCATGTTTATCTTATTGTTGGTCTGGCTTCTTTGGATGCATGAAGTTTGGTAGTTTAGTCATGTTGTCGCAGCTTTCATGACTGAGTGTTTCCGACTCTCTGATGATGTTTGTCAGAGACCGATTGGGCCAAAAATGAAGACTTTGTGTTCTAATCTATATTGGACAAAACCATAATGCTGTTTCCATTACATGTTTGAGAAGAAACAGCGATAATCTTTATTTTTGTCTAATGTAGTTTGACTTCTTCACCATGAACTCAGTCGCATCACACGTTTAATGCTTTGTTTTGATTTTACTTGATGTACTTTTAAATATCTCACATCATTTAGTTATGTTATTTCCCATCCATTTATCGAGCCAGAAAAGATTACTAGAGATAAAGCGACAGAGGGGCAAATGAAAACTGGACAAAATAAGGAGAGCCGTGGAGACAAAAAGATTCATTGAAACACAGATTCAGGCAAACAGAGACAGAAAGAAGGAGAGCGGAGGATTTCCTGTCTCGAGGTTTCAGACGATGAGTCTGTGAGAGAATAGGCATCCTGCCGCTTGTGAAGTTTTACTACGATCGGGAGGATCATTCACTGCCCAACAGAGAAGAGACAGACAAATATGACGTGCATTCACATTTGCACTGAATGATTAAATATTCTGTGTATTTCTGCATGTTTAA